TACTCGCGTGGCTGCGTGGCACCGCGTGGCCGTTGTGTTTCTCGTGTTCGCCCGTGCTGTTTTTGTCTGCTGCCTGCTGCCCCTACACTCTCTTTGCCCCTTTTTTCTTTTGCCTAGATTCTCACACCGAAAGCGACCATGGCGAAAACGAAACTGCCGACGATGAAGCGGACGATGAAGCGGGGGCTGAGGCGGGTTGCCGTGCTGCTGATTCTCTTCATTGCGGTCACAAATCTTTTGTACCTCAGCTTTGACATCGCTGACGATGATGGTGCACCGGGACCCAACAACCTCCGCCACCTGCGTGCCGCCGCAGTGGACGACGCAGCACTTGCTTACATCCCACGCCGTGTTGTGGACACGTGGAGCAGGCGGGAGTATCTGATTGTGCTGGGCATCCACTCCACGGACGACGAGGCGAGGCGAAGACGGCGCAACCTGCAGCGGTCGACGTGCTGGCGTTTCCCCGGAGTGGCGACGAGGGCGAACGACTTCACCGGTGCGATGCTTGTGCTGTACGTCCTTGGGCGACACCCATCGCACGGCTACGACTACTCTGCCGCGCTGCTGGAGGAGGCGTCGCAGTGGAACGATGTGGTTGCGCTGCCAATGAACGAGGGCCGTGTGACGACAAACAAAACAATTGGTTCCTATGGTTCTTGGGGCGACGAGGCAAATGTCGGTATTGGCCGCAAGACGTACATGTGGTTTGACCTTGCTCACCGCCTGTTCCCGAACGCGAGTTACATTGCGAAGGGCGATGACGACATTTTCCTCCGTGTGCCGCTGTTCGTTGCTCACCTGCGCCTCCTGCCGCGTCGAGGGATCTACATGGGCGTCCACATTGGTACATCCAGTTTTGAGGATAAGGGCTTACCGGGCAGCACATTTATGGTTGGCTGGTGCTACACCTTGTCGAGGGATGTGGCGGAGGCGTTGGTGTCTTACAAGCCACTGCGGCGCCTGGCGTACCTGCCGTACAGCAAGGAGCGTGATCACGAGTTTGCACTGCTGCGGTTTCACTACGAGGACAACATGGTCGGCTGGGTACTTGAGAAGGAAGTGAAGTACAAGCCGATGGTATACGTCAAGGTGCTGGGTTGTCATTTCCATGACGCTCGCAATAGCACGGGGCACTCGCAGGTGGTGCCGACCTCAATGTGTGTCCATCACGTGCTGGAGGACGACTACGCTGCGCTGATGGCGCGCTTCGGCAACGACACATCGCCTGTCGCCCGTGTGGAACGTGTCTCCGACGACACGATATACCCGTCGTGCGATTGACAAATGAACGAAATGATCTGTTTTCTGTGCGTGTTGAATCCTAATGTATTGCTTGATTGGTTGCTGCATTCCGGTTTGTGCCCTGTGTGCTCCGTGGCCGAACGACGTGGAATGTGTCATTGACTGCCCCGTGCCCCTGTGGAGCGTGCCACTCCCTGCACTCGACCCGCGTGCGGGTGTGCTTCTGCTGGGGGCACGCGATGAGGATGTGCGTGTGTGTGCTGGGCCGCCAATGAACGATGTATGTGAGTCTG